CTAAGTCACCATAGAAGAAAATATTTTTTTACATCAAATTGTTGTAAGTCTCAATCAAAATTAGCAGTACAGGATAGTAATATTATGACTGTATTCATTTTTGCGACAGGTGTAAAGGTTTCTGATAGTCAACTCTATAGATTTGAGTAAACCATTTAACTGCTAGTTTAACTTTGTATTTCTCAATCGACCAATCTGCTTTCTGTTTTACAGTGAACACTCACTCGCAACCAATTATTTTCTTTTTTTGTGTGAAACAAGCTCTCATATTTTATGTTTTACTAATACTTTCATTTTTTCAATCATCGTTTCCTTCCATTTGGGATCTCTTAGGGTTTCTCTCCAATCTTGTGGAATAGACATAAAGGAAATAGACAAAATAAAGATTCTATAGGAGGGAGATAGAGAGTCATAGGAAACAAACTTGGATATAAGATGCTTAGTACAAGTTCTGATTCATTTTCTAAGAGCAATGAGTTGATAAGATAATTCATAAGATAAAGATGATTCATCAGTATCTTCAGAAACTGAGGAAGATTCTTGACCTGAAATAGACTGCATGATGACTTTTACTGTCTTATATCTTTTTAAATACCTCTTTAAGTTCGGTTTATTTAGTCGTCCAAAATTTTCTTCCTGAATAAGATCTTTTGACATAGAATTCTCTCTTTGAATATGACTGTTAAGAGTTACTGCATTGCGCGAATGGCCGTGCACGAATAAGAGCAGATAGGTCGGGCAAGACTGAATGTGTGATGTGCGAAGGGGAGAGCCGTGCGCGAAGGAGATAACGTGGTAAGGTCAGGCATGTGTGAAGGGGAAGCGCGAAGTAGTTACTGTGTGCGAAGGGCTGAGCGAACAGCCGTGCGCGAAAAAGAGAGCTGTGTGTAAAGGAGAGAGCCGTTCGTGGAAGAGATAACTAGGTCGGGTCAGGTGTGCGTGAAGAGGAAGCGCGAAGCAGCTGCTGTGCGCGAAGGGCGGGCAAATAGCCGTGCGCAATCGGGGTAAAGGAATCGGGTAGGGCATAAACGCTCATCAGAGAAGGGCGGCAGGCCAACAGTGAGGCTATGATTTCGTTTGAGTAGGTGTTGAGAATATTCTAGAATTTAAAAGAAATCCTAAATATTAAAACCTTAAAATACTTTTATTTTGCTCTAATACTATGTAGACATTTGAGAAAAATATTTACTTTATTTTCACTATATACTTTGGTATTACAGGCAACACATATATATGCAAAATTTTTAAGTACAAATAGGAAAATTACTACCCTTATACTAGAAATTTTAAATAATTATAATATTATGAGAGAAATTAATGGTAAGAATTATATAGGAAAAATATCATAATTATTTAGGAAACAAAATATTCATGTCAACACGATAGATACTTTATCAAAAGAAAACTTGACAGTGGCCTATATGTACTCTATACATGCTTACCAGTTTAGAGCTGGTAGATGTGTTGACTAAATGTCTGAATAGTTCAACATTCCAGACTATCATTAACAAACTGGGAATGAAAAATATTTATTTTTCAGCTTGAGAGGGAATGTTAAAGAAAGTGTCTTATGTGAATTAAATTAAATGATATGTGGTAAAATACACCTTATATAATTAATTGTCTATTTTTTTATCTATTTTAGAAACCTGTATATATAAAGTTGTGATATTCAATGAAATATACATCAAACTATTCTTAACATTTTAGGTAGTCGATTGCATCTTTTTTTTTTTTGGGCGACTGTGCTAGGTCTAATTTGAGTGTTATAATTATTCTGGATAATATGATATTGCTTCAATTGATGTGGTTAACTTTGATGAGGTTTTTCCTCTTCTTAAGCAACTACTTTTGCGCCTTTCTTTTATTCATTTAGATTCTTTCTGTTATGCACTTTGTACATTGGTCAAATGCATTAAATGCTGCCCCAATTGTTACTTTCATCTGAGGGTATATCAACATTGTTTCTTGACCTTAGACATGACGTTTTGTTAATGCTATAGGCTGCTCATGGTGGAGGGAAAATAAACTTGAAGGGCCTTTATTCAGGATTAGCTGGCAACCTTGCTGGTGTTTTACCGTAAGTACCTTTAAAGTGCGGAACTTCTCTGTGGTCATCTGATCTTTGCATCACGATTTCTTATTATTGACACAACTTATGTACTTTAGAGAACTAATCTAATTTCAAAGCCAAAAATTACTCACTATCTTAATTCTTTGAGATCTTCTTTCTTGGCGCTTTAGCTTTATTAATTATTAAACTAATGTTAACAAATAATTTCGTGAACCTTAATGAGCAGACTTAAATATGCAAAACCATCCATATCAATAATAAATTATGATCTTGAATTTTCATTATTATTTTGGAGATGCAAAAGATTTAAGTGTATGAAGTCATCTGTATCTGGATAAATTATGATCTTATTTTTTATCCTTATTTTGGAGCTTCAACAACAAAAACCATTCATTGCAGCATATCAACTTTATAAGTCTTTTTGGGGGCGTTGTTGTTTCTCATCCTCAAAACTACTTTTCAACTTTGTGAACTTCATTAGACTGGATAGTTGGATTTCATTCTCATCTATGACGCTATTTTTTATCTAATGGAGATAGGGGATCTTCAATAATTTTTGGCAGCTCTAAAATTGATGGTTAAGTATTTTTCTTAACTTCTGGTGAACTCGCGTGTGCACGTGCACACACACACACATAAAAGGAAAACATGCACTGATTATGTACTATCAAGGCTGCAGCCTGGCATCTAAGAACAGAAAATAAAATCTGAATTGGTTTTGGAAAATTCATATCTAAACATCCTGTCTTCACAATTAATGGTGATGATAATCATGGGTGTTATTTCCATGCCTATAAAGAAATAGGATATTATAGATGATTGAGTAAATAACTTCTGTAAAGATACTGTATTAGGACACTTGTCTTCTTAATGGAACCTATTTGGTTGTTAATGTATTCTCTGCAGGGCTTCCGCACTATTTGTTGGTGTTTATGAACCTCCGAAGCAGAAATTGTTGAAGATCTTCCCTGAAAATCTTAGTGCAATTGCACATTCGGTAAGACATTTCTCAATGCTAGCAGCAAACTAGAATGAGAGTCTTACAAATTTAATAAACATATCATTGGAATATAAATGACAAAGTTATGTCATTTCCTATTTGTTTGGCCTATTAGGATAAGTGGTTACCTAATGAGTTAATGAATATAATTTCAGACTAATTAGTCTTAAAAAACATAACAGAGGTCTTGGAATCTTGGGGTCAAATCATGGGACCATCTCCTCCCCCTTGTTTGCCTATAATTGCACCTTGATGCAAAACCCGTTAATCTATATTTTCTCTTCGTATATTGTTCGGATTTGTTTCCATGAAGTATACTATTTCATTACTCACTGGGGAATATGTTGAAATATAATTTGTTTGTGCTTCCATTGGGTTTCTTTTTACATGCTATGTTTGTTGTTCAAGTTGCATGCTGAGGTTATGTACACACATTTTTCATAAGATAAAGGATATTGTTAAAATAGAGGAAAATACAAAGGATGGGGTAACATTCTAGCAAGAAAAAAAGGAGTACATCAACAAAGAGAA